ACTCTTGTGTATAATGGGTTTATTCCCCAACAACCACCCACAACCACCCATCAAGGACACACAGGAAGTATGCACAGAAATGTTCTGGGCAGAATTATTTGTAAGATAAAAATTTGAGATCCGCTTAAATTTCCACCCTTAGAAAAATAAAGTATCGCATGTTAAAATACCTTAAAGATAAAACAGCTTTATTTTACTCTCCCAGAATATACTGGTTTGTCCAGAGCCTCCTATTTTATTTTATTTTTGCTTTTTGGGTCAGACCTGGCGATGCACAGGGGTTCTTCCTGGCTCTGCACTCAGGAGTTACTCCTAGCCGTGCTCAGGGGACCATATGGGATGCTGGGAATCAAACCGTGGTCGGCCGCGTGCAAGGCAAACGCCCTACCCGCTGTGCCATCTCTCCAGCCCCCAGAGCCTCCTATTTTAACCTACAAAAATTACACTGTACAAAAATTACACTGTACCGGTGTGTTTGCCTTCCCCACTTGAGCCAAAAGAGGAAGGGGTGGGGTGGGGGGGATGAGAACCTTCACTCAAACAACAACAAAAAAATCTGGTTGTCTCATTTGCATCCTCGAAGTTGCAGGGGGGACGTCTTCCAATACAGAGTGAATTGCTCCCAGTCGTGTGCTTAGCCGTGGTGATTAATCACCCTAGACTTTACAAGCCAGGGTCCTGTCACGGAGTGTGGAACCAGCTCTCCATCATTCTTAGGAAACCAAAGCACAGCCCCAGCCATCTCCCTGCGACCTTGAATGGGTCAGTGCTGTGGGGTCTGGAACGGGCCATAGGGTTCTTAACTCGAACCCTCCCAGTAGCGACTTCCGAGAGCCCCCTTCCGAGAGCCCCTCCCCCACCCGCAGACACAGGCGGGGTTCAGGGAAGAGCCTTCAAAACACCCGCCAAGAGGAGGCCATTCAAACCGTGGATGGATATCCAGGGAAGTAGAGCAAACCAGGCTTTGCACGTCTGTGCTGAAGTGGCGGGCTGAGCAGACGTGGATGCATTGGGCTCTTGCTCTGCCGGAGAGGGAGGTGGGATGCTCTCTTTGTGTTCTTGAAAACCTTTCCTTTGGGGACTCAGGATGCCCCTGTTGCCTCCTGGGTTTGACCCTGGCTGGAGTTGCTATCCTCGGGTCTCTAGGAACAAAGGAATAGAACTTTGATCTTGACTTCTCCCGTCCCTTCCGGGCCCTTCAGAGAAGGACAACGCTTTCTCCTCTCGCTGCTTTGTGTTGGTTACTTTTCTTCTGTTTTGGGGGTTGCACTCAGCAGTGTTAAGGTTCTATTTCTGGCTCAGTGCTCAGGAATGACCCCTGGTGGTGCTCCGGGAGACTGCAGGAAGTGCAGGGGATTGAACTGGGTTTGACTGCATGCAAGTACCTTACTTCCTGGCTATCTCTGTGGTCCCTGCTATTGTTTCAGAGGGGAAGGTCTCGAGGAGGGCTGCATGCCCCTTCTTCTCCCCTGGGGGTGATCAGGGCCAAGAGACAACCATAAAAAAGTCCAGCTTCTTCCCGAAGGGGCCTGGGAGGCTGCAGCCTTGATTAAATATCAACAGTGAGAGAGAACCCCATCTCCTAGATGGTGAGTGGGTACCTCATACCCTCAGTGACCCTGTGTGAAGACATTAAATAACATTAGATAACACAGATGACTTTTTTTTTTTTTAGCCTTTTGCTACCAGGAATCTTCAGTCCTGATGAATGTTCATGAAACACAACTTTAGGATTCATGAGGAATTGTCTTTTATTTATTTATTTTTTTGAGTAGGGTTGTTTATTTATTTATTTATTTATTTATTGCTTTTTGGGTCACACCCGGCGATGCACAGGAGTTACTCCTGGCTCATGCACTCAGGAATTACTCCTGGTGGTGCTTGGGGGACCATATGGGATGCTGGGATTCGAACCTAGGTTGACTGTGTGCAAGGCAAATTCCCTACCCGCTGTGCAAGGGCTGGAGCGATAACACAGCGGTAGGGCATTTGCCTTGCATGCAGCCAACTTGGCCGACCCGAGTTCGATTCCTCCGCCCCTCTCGGAGAGGCCGGCAAGCTACCGAGAGTATCTCGCCTGCATGAGAGTATCTCGCCTGCACGGCAGAGCCTGGCAAGCTCTCCGTGATGTATTCGATATGCCAAACACAGTAACAACAAAGTCTCCAATGGAGACGCGTTACTAGGCCCGCTCGAGCAATCGATGAACAACGGGAGGACCAGGACCGTGACCGTGAGGGTTGTTTGTTTGTTTGTTTGTTTGGGGGCCACATCAAACAGTTGTCAGGGATTATTTCTAGCGCTGTGCCCAGGGATCACTCCTAACAGTGCTCAAGGGGGCCATATGAACGGAACAGAGTTCAGCTGTGTGCAGGGCAAGTGCCTTCCTGCCTGCACTTTCTCTCCAGTCCTCTGCTCCCTTTTAAACTCCTGAGGACAGGCTTTGTTTCCATTTTCTCAGCAAAACTTAGTCACTGTGTGAGTCTTCAGAGGAGGGGGCAGAAGGAGAGTTTCAGACCTTGAATGTGGAGGGCCTTTGGCGGAAATGTTCAGGTGGAAACAACTTACAGATACAGAACCCTGTCTACTGAAGAGTGGGACTAAGTCAGCTTTAGTTCTGACCTTCACCACAGCAAATTCCCAAGAAGATTCCTAAGTTAGGGGCCGGAGCCATAGGATAGTGGGTAGGGTATTTGCCTTGTATGCAGCTGACCCAGGTTCGATTCCCAGCATCCCATATGGTCCCCCGAGCACCACCAAGAGTAATTCCTTAGTGCGGAGCCAAGAGTAACCCCTGAGCATTGCTGGGTGTGAACCAAAAAGCAAAAAAAAAAAAAAAAAAACCACAAAAAAACAGGGATTTCTAAACTTTAAGGATGATTATGTCCAATGATCAAGAACCCAATGAAGACGTTTCTTCTAGATGGGGAGATGTTTGGAAGGGTATTCACGAGCAGAGGTTACAGGATCAGTGGTCCCTTCACCTCAACCAGAGTCACACATCTCATGATCTCTGCCTTCTGGGGAGCCCCAAAGGAAAGCCTGGCATTTTACCTGTGTTGGGCCCCTTCATCTGGATTGCCACCCACAACATAGATTCTTTACCCTGGTTCTTCAGGGAACTGGAGTTCCATTAGGTCCAATAGCACTGCACTGTCCTCCCGTTGTTCATCGATTTGCTCGAGTGGGCCCAGTAACGTCTCCATTGTGAGACTTGTTGTTACTGTGTTTGGCATATCGAATACCTCACGGGGAGCTTGCCAGGCTCTGCCATGCGGGTGAGATACTCTCGGTAGCTTGCTGGGCTCTCTGAGAGGGGCAGAGGAATCAAACTCGGGTCGGCCTGGCCAGCGGCGTGCAAAGCAAACGCCCTACCCTCTGTGTTATCACTCCAGCCCAGTAGCGTGAGAAAAAAAGAGAAGGTCTGGCTTGCCACACCAGGCTTCTCAGCCTGCATTGCCCCTGCTCTTGTCCAAATGCAGCATTGCCTTCCTGAGGGACACTAAAAGGAAGCCCCTGGGGTAGCCCCTGGCTGTGAACAGATGTGAGCGCAATAGAGGAGATGTCCTGCCTTCTTTTGGTTTGAATCATGATGGTGCCCCCATGGTGGATGGGTACCACAGAGGATTATGAAAGATGAGAGACGTAATTCTATTTTCATCCTCCATTCCCAGGACCCCTCTTTGACTCTCTAAGCCTTGGCTTAGTAAGGATATCAATTATACCCCAAAGGTATTACTAGTAATATATTTACTTCCTAGGACTGTTAGTTTATGTGGTATGGAGACTGAAAGGGGAAAATCATGCAAATAGTTTGTAGGGCATTGGTTTGACCTTTCTTCTTTGCCACAGGGAGCTTAGGTTTATGGGGTTGCTCCCATCACAGTGCTCTCATTCCTCTGTGTTTATTTGTAACCTCTTTCTTTGTGCTCTGTTGACTTGTAAATATTGTTTTTCTCTTCTTCTTAAGCCATTTGCATAGTTAATTCAGAGCAATATCCTTTTAGTATGGACACAAGAAGAAACATTGACTTGTTAGGGTGGCTCTCCTGGGAACATCTCGCCACAGACTCAGACTACAGTGCTCATGTCAGATTAATCTTTCCTAACCCTTGCAGGGTCCAAATATAGTTATTACTTTTTGGATCATGGCAGAATTTGTCCGTGACCATAACTCTTAACTTATAGTTAAGCATTATGGCGCTTTGGCCAGGCCCATTTCGATGCCAGCTCATAGCGCATAGCTCACAGCTTTCCTTGGGTCCATCCAGTTCCTCATCGGGACCCTGCTTTTGGGGAGGTAGAAAGTAAGGGCAACTGAGGCTTAAGTCGAGAGAACAGATTCCAGGAGGGAAATATCATTCAGGGTCAGTTAACTCCCAAGTTACTAAAGCGTGGCATTAACTGTCTTCTTGTGTCCATAGAAAAAAGGAGACATTGTTCTGAATTAACTATGCAAAGGACTTAGGGAGAAGATAAAAACAATATTTTAAACAAATCAACAGAGCCCAAAGAAAGAGGTTACAAATAAACACAGAGGAATGGGAGCACTGTGATGGGAGCAACCCAATAAACCTAAGCTCCCTGCGGCAAGGACAAATCAATGTTGCTCCCAAGGACAAGCCAATATTATCCTACATCAGTTGTCAATTTTCTTAGTATAAACTAGCATGATTGAAAATGAGTTGTTGCTGGCTGGAGAAATAGGACGGGCGTTAAAACACTTGCCTAGCATGCAGCTGACCCTGCTTGGATCCCGTGCACCGTGTCTGATCCCCTGACCACCGCCAGGGATCACTCCTCTGATTACAGAGCCAGGAGTAGTCTCTGAGCACCGCACAACGTGGTTCTCCAAGAAACACAACAGGAAGATCAGGCGTTACGCCTTAGGAGTAGAATCAGGACATGCCTGAGCTCTGTAGAACTGCAGTGATTCAGGGTGTTCCTGGTTCCTGGCTAGGGTCCCTGCAAAGCGCGGCCTTGGGGTTCTTCTTTTTCAGTCATTACCATATTTAAGGGTAAAGTGGAGGAGGTGGAGCTCCCGGTGGAGAAGGTGGACATTATCATCAGCGAGTGGATGGGTTACTGTCTGTTCTATGAGTCAATGCTCAACACGGTCATCTTTGCCAGGGACAAGTGGCTGGTAAGTGTCCTGCATGCCGGCCCCCCATTGGTGTAGCAGCTGCCTTGCTGCCCTGCCCAGCTTCAGGTCTGGGACAAATAGGAGACCTGACAGAGGGCGGAGGGCGTCTAGATCACTGCTTCCAGAACATCTGCTTTCAACCAGATCCTGTTTCTGGGGACAGAATGATGGGCCTGGAAGCCAACAGGTCTCATGACCCGAGTAGGTATCATTTTGGTCGCCTACCTGGTGACTGACACGGGTTCTCAGGCAACAAAAGTCTATTCCGCTCAATAAGGACCCAGAATTTGCATGGCGGCCTTCCAGCCTTGACCTTGGTTTCTCCAGGCTAAAAGGGCATCCCGTCGTCCACTGATCAACCCCTCACCCCTTGGTCTTCCCTTTGCCCCACTCATGGGTGTTCTGCTGACTCTACCTGGGCCCTTCAGATTCCCTCTGATCCCCAGTGAAAAGGGAGCTAGTCCCAACCCTGGCCAACGGGACAGACTGCTGAGTGAAGTACTGGCAAGGGGTTGCCTGTCTGGTGACTCTATGTGCAGTTCAAAATGTGATGTCTTTGTCAGGTGAATAGATTACGAGACCCATTTCCCCACAATTCATCAACAGAAACCTGGAGGGCTTATGTTTCCAGACCGGGCCGCTTTGTACGTGGTCGCAATTGAAGACCGACAGTACAAGGACTTCAAAATCCACTGTAAGTTCCCCTTTCCGTGCTCTTTGGGGTTTTTCATTGCTTGTGTCGGGTGGGCCTAAGACGAGCACCGGGGATTGTGAACAGGCCTATGGAGAAGTGGCCTTTCTGGATTCTCCTCTCTCGCCCCAAGGGCAGGAGGACTCCTGAGAGGAAATAAGCAATTGGCTGGTGTAAGATAAATGTCCTAGGTCCAGAGAGGGAGGCAGCGGGAGTGACAAATGAAAGGAAGAAGCTGAAGGCAAGTTTCTGTGGAGAACGCCAGGCAGTGGGGGGGCTGGAAACCTGTGGATATCCACCAAGGGTTGAAAAATGCTGGGCCTCTTCTCAGGCCGGTCAATTCGAATGCTGCCTTCAAACTCCTCAAATGTGTCATGAATGTATTGATTCATTTTTTTTGGGGGAGTGAGGGTCATAGCCAGTGATGCACAGGGATTACTTCTGGCTCTGCACTCAGAAATCACTCCTGGCAGTGCTCAGGGGACCGTATGGGATGCTGGGAATTGAACCCGGGTTGGCTGCATGTAAGGCAAATGCCCTACCGGCTGTGCTATCGCTCCAGACCCAAATGTATTGAATCTTGTGTCACTGTCACTGTCACTGTCCTTTCGTTGTTCATCGATTTGCTCGAGCGGGCCCAGTAACATCTCCATCATGAGACTTGTTGCTACTGTGTTTGGCATATCGAATATATCACGGGTAGCTTGCCAGGCTCTGCCATGCGGGCGAGATACTCTCGGTAGCTTGCCGGGCTCTACGAGCGGGGCGGAGGAATCGAACTCGGATCGGTCATGTTGGCTACATGCAAGGCAAACGCCCTACCACTGTGCTATTGAATCTTGTGTGTATGAAGTAAATATGAGAGAGAAAGACTCTGTGTGTGTGAGAGAGAGAAAGAAAGAGAGAGATTGTGTGTGTGAGAGAGAGAGAGGAAGAGAGAAAGAGAGGAGAGAGAGAGAGAGAGAGAGAGAGAGAGAGAGATCCAATTCTCTGTAATGCTTTATTAGCTGAGATCTTGTTCTCTTAGGGACACCTCCTTGCCCCTCCACACACAATCTCTCTCTAGCACATTCTCTGGCCCTCAAAGAGCTGTTTCGTTCTACATCATTCCAAGGGCACCGTTTCTCAGTGGCACCAGCCAGACCCCCGTGAGATCATACCCAGCGCCTCCCTGTCAGGTCAGGAGCCCTGATGTTTCCTCAACCAGAATGAGATACCATGACATGGAGTCAAAGCACTGCCGTCAGACACGGGAGCAGCACCCATCAGGCCTCCAGTCCCAGGCAGGAACTCCCGGGAGAGCAGCCCCCAGACTCTCCTGACTGAGCTGCTCCCTGGAGACGTCCACCCCTCCCTGTCATGGTTGATGAGGCGGGGGCTCATTTCACGGATGAGTACCTCCCCCCCAACACAGACACACATGCACATGTACACTTCTAGGGATACAGCAAATAGCTTTTTAGGTGGGTTCTTGGGAATCCTTAGGTGAAATAAGCACATGAGCAATAACATGGGTGTTATTGTTTCATTTTGATTTTTTGGTTTGGGGGCCACACGTCGCTGTGCTTAGGGGCCACTCCTGAGGAAGCTCAGGGGACCGTACAGGGGGGTTGGGACCAAACCTAGGTTGGCCATGTGCAAGGCAAGCTCCTGCACCGTCTCTCCAGCCCCAGCTGATTTATTTTAGCGCTAACGCAGGTACCCTTGAGTCTAAGGATCCACATGGGTCCTGAGCCTCAGCACTGGGCACTCTTGATGCCCCACTGGCCTACTGCGGGGGCACCATGGTCTCTCATGCTGCCGGGGTCCGGGCCTTCCATCCATTTGGCTTCAGCACTTCCTGTCTTCTCCAGTCTCCCTCACAAGCACGAGGGCTGCTGCTGCTTTCTTACCCTCTGCTCCGGCATGGATGTGGGCCAAAGAGGAAGTGACCTGCCCTAGGCCCTCTTTTTTTTTTTTTTTTTTTTGCTTTTGAGTCACACCTGGTATTGCTCAGGGGTTACTCCTCCTGGCTCTGCATTCAGGAATCACTCCTGGCGGTGCTTGGGAGACCCTATGGGATGCTGGGAATTGAACCTGGGTCGGCCACGTGCAAAGCAAACACCCTCCCTGCTGTGCTATCGCTCCAGCCTCTCCTGGGTCCTTCTGATGTCTTACTATCCACACCTGGAGCTATTTTGGTGGGCTTGGAGGATTTCCTCCCCAGGAAGGCTTGGAATGACCGAGTGGATGAGTCATGTGCTCTGTCCCCAGTTCCTCCCACATGAGCATGGTGGTGCCACTACATTGGGTCCAGTTAATACACCCAGTCCATCAACCACCATAGAAAGGGTGGTACCTGCCACCTGGGTACAGGAAATGCACATGTGTGTATGTGTGTGTCCCTGTCCATGTCTGTGTATGTTCTTCTGTGTGTGCTTGTATGTGTATGTACATAGGATTCCTTTTGCTGTGTGTGTTTGTGTGTTGTTTGTGTATATGAGCATGTGTGTGTCCAGTTTATGTGTACTTGTATGTACGCATGCTTATTTGTGTGTGTGTGTGTCTGTGGTCATGCTTGTATGCGTGTCTATGTTTGTGCATGGCATGTATGTGTGTGCTTGTGTTTGCGTGTGTTTGTGTATGTGCCTTTTTCATGTGCACTTACGTGTGTGTACATGTATGCACACAGGTATACTTGTATGGTTGTGCATCTGCATGTATGTGTATGAGTGCCTCTGTGCACATTTATGTGTAGGCATATGTGTGTTTGTGTGTGTGTGCTTGTGTGTATGTGTTCACACCCTTCTGGAATGGTCACAGTGAAACCCACAGTTCAGAGTCAGGTTGAGGGAAGTCCTCCAGCAGACCCTGTCAGAGGCTCTGTTCCCTGGTGCTGCCCCCTTGCTGTGGATGCTGATCCTGGGCCAGCAGAGGGGGACTGGCCCCGCAGGTGGGGTGGTCCTGCTTGAAAGCCCACTAGCCCTGGGTTCAGGTGTCTGAATGGAGGAGTGAAGGCCTCATTCACCCCCACCTTTCTTTTGCTTTTTGGGTCACACTCAGTGATGCACAGGGGTTACTCCTGGCTCTGCACTCAGGAATTACTCCTATTGGTGCTCAGGGGACCATACGGGATGCTGGAGATTGAACCTGGGTCGGCCATGTGCAAGGCAAACACCCTTCCTGCTGGACTAATGCTCTGGCCTGGCCTCATCCCTTTGAGTCACAGTATGTGATCAGGTCACACCTATTTTTGGCTTTCAAGGACTAAGTGATACGGCAAGATAGCAGGTTTCCAGGCGAAGAACAAGAACCTTGTTTCTGTCCACGAAGGCTTGTGACAACATTGATGAGGGGGAAAAATCAGTTCCCACTTGGAATTTTCTGGGCGGGGCCTATGCCTTCTCCCTCTGTCCATACATGCTCTCTCCTACGCCTGCATTTCTCCCGTACCCCCACAGAACAGCTGGCAAGGATCCCAGTGTGTGGCAGTGACTCCCTTTGGCAGGAGTGTGGGTTAAGTGCTTGTGGAGATGGGATGTCCATCCAGGGTAGGAGGCTGGACCTTCCACCCTGGTCTGGAATAGGAGGGTTGGAAAAGAAATGAATGGAAGGGGCTGGAGAGATAGCACAGCGGGTAGGGCGTTTGCCTTGCACACAGCTGACCCGGGTTCGATTCCCAGCATCCCATAGGGTCCCCTGAGCACCGCCAGGAGTAACTCCTGAGTGCAGAGCCAGGAGTAACCCCTATGCATCGCCGGGTGTGACCCAAAAAAAGCAAAAATAAATAAATAAATAAAAGAAATGAATGGAAAACAAATCATTGTTTCCTTGTAAGAAGGTTTGAGGTCTTATTTAGAAGTCAGGTGATAATGCCCAGAAATCAACCCAAGAAACTTATTCTTGGTGGCATCTGTGAGCCCACAGCAAAACTGGATTTCCTCCGCCTTCTTCTACTTCTTCCCATCATGGTTTATGAGAACCCGTTGCCCGTGTGAAGGGAGGAATTTCTGACTGTCAGAGCGCATGACGGTTCTGGGGTCTCCGAGGCACTAGACTGGATTTGTCTCCGAAAGTGTTGCAAAGCCCCTTTTTGTTCTTGGCTCTGGCGAGTGGGCCTGTCTGCCAAGCCTCGGGCCTCCAGCGGTTCAGAATCTGGGGCAGATCTGTCCTCATGGTAGGCTGCAAAAACAATTCAGCAGTGAACATTGATCAAATGCATGTATAAATAGGACATATTTTGCCCTGGAGCGCATGCTAATGCTGCTTTTGTAGTTCTTGCTGTGTGACTCTATTGAGGGATGTCAGGAAACTGCAAGCCCGTTGGTGGTTCTCTCCTGCGCACTTAAATATTTATTGAGCACCGACCCCCGCATAAGCCTCTCTAGGGACCGTCCTCGGGCTTGTTTTAACTCCCTCCTGGCTTGTGTTTGGGAACTTCTGGTGGGTGCCACGGCCACTGCCACCCACTGAGGGACTCACCCAGAACAGGAGAGTATAAGGTCGAGTTTTAAGCTACTTGCTGCCATTTTTCTTCGCCTCTTGGAAAAGGAAACAAAACAGAACTGAAAATCGGCTCTGGTTTTCTTTTCGTGGAATTCTTGCTCTGGATGCTGTGAAAAAAAAAAAATCAAGCACACATTCGCGAAGTCTCTAAAATACTGTTAAGCTTTTCTATTTCCATGTATTTTTTTTTAATGGTGTTTCTGGTTTTAGTCAAGCAAGCAAACCCATTTAGAAATCTGCTTTAAATAAGCGAAAGAGTTCTAAATCAAAAGTAAAGCAGAAAGGTTGCCGGTTGCTAGGGAACCATTGTAAGCAAATTTCAGTTGGTTCGAGAATCAAAAGAGAAAAATTCTCAAGTGGGGAAGGAGCGTGAGAGGTGCCCAGCCCCTAGCAGAAAGTGAATTGTTTAGAAAAACAGCCTCCTCTGTGCCTCTTTCGGCTCTCCCCCTTCCCTCTTGGCTCTTGGCTTCCTTTTCTCCTTCCCTCCCTTCTCCTCGAGCACCATGGAAGCCCCAGAA